TGGACACGAGAACTCACGATTGGGTGTTCATTAAACGTGTGTCAGATGTACGTGTCGACGTTGTTGCGTTTGGTAGGTTGTCGCATTAGAACTCAGCCTATATTAAGCTCGAGATCTCAGCAGTGTATGTGTGGTTACTTTATTAATCTAAACATTTGAATGATGGTGGACGCTTTGGTTCACATTTTTTTTTTTGTTTTGGACTAAACACAGACTCGATGTAGTTTAATGACCACTGACCAGCGTGCGTCCGCTTTGTTGGTTTGTCATTGTTCCTTTGTGAAGTCAGTCTCAAATCTCTCCTACAGGGAAATGTTATTCTTCTTATTTGGTTGTCTCCCATACAAACGTATTCAATCAGCAAAGCTATCTTAGCTGATGATTAACAAATAGCTTTCCAATTGGTTCATACACTTGGGAATAGTTGAAATTTCCAGTCGTGGTTATTACTCCTCAGTTGTTGCGTCTCTTATAACTGAAACTTCATCGCAATCTCGAGTTTAGTCCTTCATTTCGTACTCTCTCTACATTTTTTCAATTAGAATTGTAGAATATTTTATTTAAATATCAGTGTTTTTAAATTTATTTGGATTGCAGGTTAGATGTTCTTCTTAAGTTTCCTTTTACATACACTTACCGTTCAAATAGTTTGGGTCACTTACCTAAATGTCTCTTTATTTTTGATAAAATAAGCAGTTTTTTCAACTTTGAAGATAACATTTATAATTTAATCAGAAATAGCAGTCTAGACATTGTTTTGTCGGTAAGATGACTATTTTTAGCTGGAAACCGGCTTGATTTGTATATATATTTATATTTCTACATACGGTGTAGCAGAGGCGCCCCATTTCCAGCAACCCCTCACTCCCTGTGTTTTAAGTGGGTGTAACCCCATGAGGCTACCTCGCGCCCCACACACACACACACACACACACACACACACACACACAGCTCATTCTTCCTCCTCCCCTCTCCTGCTTTTCTTGCTGGAGTGAGGGGAAGTTTGAGTCTCTTTTAGGAATCGACCAGTTTGGACTGTCAGAGCAGGAATTGCGCATGTTGTTGGTTTGTTGTTTCAATAAAAAAGGCTTGTGGACAAATTCATTTATTGCACAAAGAAAAAGGACCCCGTCTGACCTCTCACCCTAAAGACACAATCACACACACAAATTCCCACCAGGTGTAGTCAAGTAAAAATGAATTGGTTAATTGGTTTGTCCGTTTTGGGCT